AGAATTGCAAAATTCGCATCTTTCATTCATTTGGCCGAAGAAAAATTCAATAATTTCTTTTTCATCTATATTAGCCAAATCAATTGCATTAGTTCGCATTGTCGGTCGCCGATATCGCCTGTGAGCCTCAGCATCACGTTGATGTCTTGCAGCACGTTGGTCTGCTGTTTCACTATCTAGTTTTAGACGTTTAGCTTCAGCTTTACGCAGAAGTCTTGCAGCACGTTGTTCTGCTGTTTCATTACTTAGATGTAGACGTTTAGCTTCAGCATCTCGTTGGAGTCGTTCAGCGCGTTGATCAGCTGTTTCTTGTTGCCTTGCTTTTTGCCTTCTTGCGGCAGCTGTGGCCTTTCTTTCCTCTTCAGAGTTATATTTCTTAGGAGGCATGTTTTTTTGCATACAATGATTATTTTAGTAAATAGGTAATATTAAGTAAGAGCAGAAGAATATGGGTAATTAGTAATCAAAGTAATCAAGTTATCAAAATTATTTTTTTTTGGATAATATATCTATGAAATTTATTGAAAATTAAAATATTCTGTTATTTTAAAATATATATTTATTTTTAAAATGAAGTTTTCAATTTTAAAATGTTTTCTTTCTTTTTTTTTATATAATTTTCATCGATCAGTAGACCTATCTTCTTGTCGGCGAGCACGTGACCTCCCTGTGCGCGCGCATCCCTGACAGAGGCGGCCGGCCAATGACTGACTGATCAGGAAAGACTCTCGTGACTATATATAGTAAAACGAAAATTGCAATTATACCGCGAATGTTTCTTTTAAACAAAAATCGAAATCTATTTTAAAGATAAATAACGATTATCTCTAACTTTAAGGATGAAGTATGATAGGATGAATTGTGAAGAGTAATGACAAACGGAAAAAAATTTCGATTTTTGTTTAAAAGAAACATTCGCGGTATAATTGCAATTTTCGTTTTACAATCATCAGCCGCGTTATATTGTATTTTAAATGTATTATAAGTTACTTTAAATATTATTTACGAACGGAAAAATACGTCCAGGGTAGCCTAGTGGACATGGCACCTGCCCGGTAAGCAGAAGGTTGTGGGTTCGATTCCCGCCCCTGGACACTTTTATTTTTCCGTTTGTCATTACTCTTCACAATTCATCCTATCATACTTCATCCTTAAAGTTAGAAATAATCGTTATTTCTCTAAAATAGATTTCGATTTTTGTTTAAAAGAAACATTCGCGGTATAATTGCAATTTTCGTTTTACAATCATCAGCCGCGTTATATTGTATTTTAAACTATATATAGTAATAATCCAAATTGTACCTTATCATTGGAAATTTGGTCTTATTACCTTGTGTTTATAATCTATAATTCAAATTGTGCCTTATCATGGATGTGGTCTTATTACCTTGTGTTTATAATCTATAATCCAAACTGTACCTTATCATGGATGTTGTCTTATTACCTTGTGTTTATAATCTACTAGCGGACGTACCCGGCTTCGCCCGGGTTTTACCCGAGTAAAGGTTTGTCTAACGAATCTCTCGATAAAGTGAACGTTTTTTCCCGGTCCCTTGAAAAATACTCGTTAGTTGAATAAAATCAATGTTAATTGGTTCCCTCGGTAATTGGAAGTTAAATGAATAGTATCTTGCCTTGGAATTGTATCATTATTCTTGTATGGATGTACCCGGCTTCGCCCGGGTTTTGGGTTTTACCCGAGTAAAGATTTGTCTAACGAATCTCTCGATAAAGTGAACATTTTTTTCCTGGTCCCTTTAAAAATACTCGATAAGTTGAATAAAATCAATATTAATTGGTTACCTCGGTAATTGGAAGTTAAAGGAATAGTATCTTGCCTTGGAATTGTATCATTATTCTTGTCTCAAATAAATTACCGTGTCATCCTGAATTTTGTCTTTCCTAATTTTCTACATTACAAAATCATCGTATCATCATGATAATATTTAGAGCAGATTGTTGAATTATAACAGATACATTAGAATATTTATCTTGATTATTTTTAGGCTAAAAGTTATTTCAAAAATTTTATTTGCTAGAAACCTTCCCAGTACTATACTAAATAACTTCCCAAAGTTTCATGGCGTTCCAATGAGTGGTTTGGTCAGGCATAAAGGACAGACACACACATACATTCATTTTTATATATATAGATAATCCAAATTGTACCTTATCATGGATGTGGTCTTATTACCTTGTGTTTATAATCTATAATCCAAACTGTACCTTATCATGGATGTGGTCTTATTGTGTTTATAATCTACAACGCCCGGGGTTTACCCGATTAAATGCTTTTATTCAAATACTATTCGTTACAATTATAAATTGGCGCCGTGGATGTCATTCTTGTATAATATATAAATGAGTTTTAAAAATTGTAAAAAAAAAATGCATCGGCCGGGAATGCTCGCGTGGCAGGCGAGCATTCTACCACTGAACCAAAAGCAAACGGTGACAGAATTAAGAACGCATGACGATGATAACTGTATATTATCCGTGACAGAGGCCACGACAGACGGTCGTGACTATATATATTAATAGGGATATATTAAAACAAAAAGACCTATCCTGACCGCTCACGTGAGTATAAGATGGCAGAGCGCCATCTAGTGGGAAGAAAATCAACTGAACGTTGATTTAACTTGCTCCGTGATATTAGGGCAACTTATTTTCTTGTAAAAGCAAGAATGGTCAACCACGAAGGCGTTTAGGATTGTTGGCCTTCGTCAGCATGGGGAAGGCTGTACCTCAACGACTAAAATTTTTCCCAAGAGGCTTCCTGAAACATCAAGAAATTGCTATTTGAGTCTAATTTTGCGTTAATATCCTGTTCATGGGAAAATATTTTTCAAAAATATAAGAGGTCAAGTGTTGATATTGTTACGTAGTAAAGTATAAAAAATACATACTTCAGCATATTATACGGCAATTTATTTAAGGCAAGCACACATTAAAATTGATAAAATACAAGAAAAGAAACGAGCGATGTTTATAGAATATCAAAATATAAACATCAGAAAAAAGAAAAGGCATTATTAAAAGATTATCAGAATTGATGATCTGTTAATAAAATAATAAATACTTTACTACATAGCTCCTTCCCTATTGAAGCTGTGACCCACAACTTGCAAATATTGTAGTCACCGACATGGATCTGACGTGCTTCTGCCAAGGATTCCCTCGGAGTCTTAGAACTTTGCCCCCCCCAACTCCTTTGATTACAGATTATATATATTAAAAATATATGAAATACGACTTGACTAATTTTTCGCTCGAGGATAAGCAAAATACAATATTGATATTTCTTTTATAATAAAATCATATACAGACTCAAGAATATAATTCCTATTGAATAATACAAATGATACATTTACGAGTATTTTCAACCAAGGAATTACAAAATATTTTCTCCCTAATTTATAACCAACCATGGTAATATCAAGAGTTTTCGGAAAATAAAATTTACGCAGTGGAAGATCCAAGCATTTTTGTGGATGTAACGTTCAGGATTCCACTGTTGTTTTACTCAAGTGCCGCCAAAATTTAAAGAGTACAGACTTAATAACGGCATTAACTCTACTGATCCAAGAGAACTGATATCTAGCAAAGTTTAATTTATTAAATTCAATAGATATATATTTTGTAAATATTGTTGCACCTAGTTGCAGCTCTGCAGTGTCGTCGACCTTGGTTTCTTCTTTCTTGGTGTTATACATGTTTCCCGAGCGGGTTTCCATATTTAAAGCAAAAAAATAAAAGTAAATAAATAAAAATAAATTACCTTTTAAAGTTATTGTGTTTATTTATTATCGTCTTCCTCGTAGTTTGCGATCCACCGTCTGCCTCTAGGTCCTCTCTTGCTCCAATAACCAATCAAGATATATGTACAATGAATATTACAAAAGGAATGAAACTATAAAAAGGAATGATGATAATATAAATATTCTGTTTTAAATAAATATTAAATATCATATAATATTTTGAATAAATGTGAGGCGCATTAAAATTGATGTAACAATATATCAGATTTTTTTAAATATTCTTAATTGCTAGGTATATTTGAGAGATTGCATGTAATATATGCTATATTATATAGTTTCTTTATTTTGATTTATATTTTAATTATATATATGATAATTTGTATATAGCAATATGTAATCCCAACACAATCTATGCAATGTATCGTCAAAAGATTTAAATAAAAGTTAGGCTTCGCGAAAGAGGGAACAGCAATTACCAGGATTGCATCATCCAGGAAGTAAAGGTTACTGCCCAGGACCCATAAAACTAAAGTTCAAAGACCTTCTTCTTCCTGGAAGATTGCAATTATGGCGACAATGGAGGTGCTAAGCCAATCACAGTTAAGCATGAACAACTAATAGCGAATCAGAAGTAGCCACGTAGAATTATTTCGACCAATAAGAAGCCGAGATAGTTAATGACGATTATCTCGGACAAGAAGTTAGGGAGAAGGTAGGTGACCGGGTTAGAAGCAAGGCGTGCCCAACTTATCTCCAACCAAGGTAAAGTCCTCTTCTATCATGTGAAAGGCAAGGTACCTCCTCCAGTCTCAATCACTCTCTCCCTTTTCGCGAAGTCCAGGTTCTATCCCATCCAGGTGCTCGTTATTTCCCCTGTGGAAACCCACCATTCGACCAAGACTGCGCCATCAATCATCAATTCAACAGAATCCGACATAGGATTCACCACAATTCACCAATCCGACAGTAAGTTGAAAGGAGTCAACAGGATCTTACACGAGTGACAACAGGATCCGATATATATATATATTATATATATATATATATATATATATATATATTATAAAGGACTGCGGCGAGTGATTATAAACAATACTTAAAGTTACACCACATAAGTTTCTTTTTTTGTGAAAAATCAATATTTATTTCAAAGAGAAATATTTACTATTTCTAACTTTTTTGAATGAAGTATGAGAGGGTGAAAATATGAAGAGTGATGGCGAACGGAAAAATAAAAGTGTCCAGGGGCGGGAATCGAACCCACAACCTTCTGCTTACCGGGCAGGTGCCATAACCACCAGGCTACCCTGGACGTATTCCTCCGTTCGAAAATAATATTTAAAGTAACTTATAATACATTATAAAGGACTGCGGCGAGTGATTATAAACAATACTTAAAGTTACACCGCATAAGTTTCTTTTATTGTGAAAAATCAATATTTATTTCAAAGAGAAATATTTACTATTTCTAACTTTTTTGAATGAAGTATGAGAGGGTGAAAATATGAAGAGTAATGGCGAACGGAAAAATAAAAGTGTCCAGGGGCGGGAATCGAACCCACAACCTTCTGCTTACCGGGCAGGTGCCATGTCCACTAGGCTACCCTGGACGTATTCCTCCGTTTGTAAATAATATTTAAAGTAACTTATAATACATTATAAAGGACTGCGGCTAGTGATTATAAACAATACTTAAAGTTACACCGCATAAGTTTCTTTTTTTGTGAAAAATCAATATTTATTTCAAAGAGAAATATTTATTATTTCTAACTTTTTAAATGAAGTATGAGAGGGTGAAAATATGAAGAGTAATGGCGAACGGAAAAATAAAAGTGTCCAGGGGCGGGAATCGAACCCACAACCTTCTGCTTACCGGGCAGGTGCCATGTCCACTAGTGTTTTGTTTCCCACTTGGCAAATACGAAAGGAGGAAAAGCAGAATGATTGTTTACAAAACAATTTGTCCTCGTTAGGCTTAATTGAATAAAATGTTTTATACTAGCTTAAAGAAACAAATGTACTTATCTTTGGTCAGGCAATTATCCCAAGCTTTACAAATGAATTTATTTTATTTTTCTTTACAATGAATATTTAAAGAATTTACAAACGATTTAAAGCCGCAGCAATGAAAGGCATTGTTCTTTAGTAGCCAGCGTTGGTAAGAAGAATGTTCGAGAAGGTGGCGAGCTCCCTCTGGCGGTCCGCCAGCTGGCCTCCCATTGGTCAGCGATGACGAAGCTCTCCGTACTTACACCGCTGCGCGCTGCCTTCTGCTACCTATGTTAGAATAAAACGAAACAACTAGGCTACCCTGGACGTATTCCTCCGTTCGTAAATAATATTTAAAGTAACTTATAATACATTATAAAGGACTGCGGCGAGTGATTATAAACAATACTTAAAGTTACACCGCATAAGTTTCTTTTTTTGTGAAAAATCAATATTTATTTCAAAGAGAAATATTTACTATTTCTAACTTTTTTGAATGAAGTATGAGAGGGTGAAAATATGAAGAGTAATGGCGAACGGAAAAATAAAAGTGTCCAGGGGCGGGAATCGAACCCACAACCTTCTGCTTACCGGGCAGGTGCCATGTCCACTAGGCTACCCTGGACGTATTCCTCCGTTTGTAAATAATATTTAAAGTAACTTATAATACATTATAAAGGACTGCGGCGAGTGATTATAAACAATACTTAAAGTTACACCGCATAAGTTTCTATTTTTGTGAAAAATCAATATTTATTTCAAAGAGAAATATTTATTATTTCTAACTTTTTGAATGAAGTATGAGAGGGTGAAAATATGAAGAGTAATGGCGAACGGAAAAATAAAAGTGTCCAGGGGCGGGAATCGAACCCACAACCTTCTGCTTGGCACCTGCCCGCTAAGCAGAAGGTTGTGGGTTCGATTCCCGCCCCTGGACCTTTTTATTTTTCCGTTCGCCATTACTCTTCATATTTTCACCCTCTCATACTTCATTCAAAAAGTTAGAAATAATAAATATTTCTCTTTGAAATAAATATTGATTTTTCACAAAAATAGAAACTTATGCGGTGTAACTTTAAGTATTGTTTATAATCACTCGCCGCAGTCCTTTATAATGTATTATAAGTTACTTTAAATATTATTTACGAACGGAAGCATACGTCCAGGGTAGCCTAGTGGACATGGCACCTGCCCGGTAAGCAGAAAGTTGTGGGTTCGATTCCCGCCCCTGGACACTTTTATTTTTCCGTTCGCCATTACTCTTCATAATTTCACCCTCTCATACTTCATTCAAAAAAGTTAGAAATAGTAAATATTTCTCTTTGAAATAAATATTGATTTTTCACAAAAAAATAAACTTATGCCGTGTAACTTTAAGTATTGTTTATATATTTATAATTATATATATATATCGTTTATTTTAAACTGTATAGTAATGTAACTTTCTATTTGCTACCACCCCCATATTTTGTATATATGCTATATCTTTATTAATATAACCTGTACACCCTTTTTGTATATAAACTAAAATTGGTGACGTCAAAATAAAGATCCAAAGAGAGAGCGGTAAGCTTGTGGCAGCAGGGACAGAGGGGTGGAAAAAGACAACGCCCAGCCCATGTGGGGTCCCGAGGGACATTCTTATAGAGACCCCCCGAAACAGGACAAGTTTTGGCAGGGGGTCGGGAGATGTTCTAGAGGGTGGCGATCGACAGACGGCTTCTGTCTCGCTCAGTCTTGCTCTCCATGTCTCGGTGATAAACATCAAAGTTGGTGTCATGGCCTCTACATCTGTCCCGTGGGCTGTCCCCGATCCCTCTTTGTGCTAACATCTAGCCCTGCATCTGCTTCTTGTTGTCCGCGTGTGGGAAGATCATCAACACTCGCCTCACGTACACGACTGCCAGTTCATCCATACGTAGGCACATTGCAACACTATTAGATATATATATATATGAGAAAACAATAGAAAAAAATAAAAGATAAGTGGGTCAGGTGTTGATATTAAAAATAAATAAGGCATCTCCTGACCACGAGCACATGTGCTTTTTAGATGGCAGAGCGCCATCTAGTGGAGCAAAAATAAACTAAACGTTTATTTAGCTTGCTCCCTGATATTTGGCCAACCCAATTTCTTGATAAATCAAGAAAAGCCATCCACGAACGCGTTTCGCGCTGTTGGCGCTCGTCAGCGTGGAGAAGGCTGTAACCACTGCGACCAAAAATATTTTTTGGTCCCAATAGCTTCCCGAAAAATCAAGAAATGGGTATTTAAGGCCAAATTTGCGTAAAGACGCTTAACACATGAAAAAAACAATAGAAAAAAATAAAAGATGAGTGGTCAGGTGTTGATATTAAAAATAAAGAAGGCATCTCCTGACCACGAGCACATATGCTTTTTAGATGGCAGAGCGCCATCTAGTGGAGCAAAAATAAAATAAATGTTTATTTAGCTTGCTCCGTGATATTTGGCCAACCCAATTTCTTGATAAATCAAGAAAAGCCATTCACGAACGCGTTTCGCGCTGTTGGCGCTCAACAGCGTAAAAAGCACATGTGATCGTGTTCAGGAATTGCCTTATTTATTTTTAATATCAACACCTGACCCACTTATCTTTTATTTTTTTCTATTTTTTTTTCATATGTTAAGCGTCTTTACGCAAATTTGGCCTTAAATACCCATTTCTTGATTTTTCGGGAAGCCATTGGGACCAAAATATCTTTTTGGTCGCATTGGTTACAGCCTTCTCCACGCTGACGAGCACCAATAGCGCGAAACGCGTTCGTGGATGGCTTTTCTTGATGTATCAAGAAATTGGGTTGGCCAAATATCACGGAGCAAGCTAAATAAACGTTTAGTTTATTTTTGCTCCACTAGATGGCGCTCTGCCATCTAAAAAGCACATGTGCTCGTGGTCAGGAGATGCCTTATTTATTTTTAATATATATTTATATATAATAATAATTGGACCCTTTTTTGATTTTTGATTGTTATTCCTATGTAAGACCCTGTTGACTTACTGTAGGATTGGTGTTTTGTGGTGGTTGATGGCGCAGTCGTTTGGTCGAAATGGTAGGCTTTTCACAGGGGAAATATCGAGAGGAAACACAGGATGGGGTTGAATCTAGGACTTCCCGAATAAGGGAGAGAAGGTTTTGAGACTAATGGGGCACTTTCCTATCACATTATCGTAAAGATGTAACCTTGGTGAGAAGGGATTAGGCACGTCTTGCTCCTAGTCGGGTCGACTTCCCTACTGACTAACTTTGAGTCCGAGATTTTCCTCGTTTACTCTCTATGCCTCTCATTGGTTGAGATCGTCTACGTGGTTACATTTGGTTGGCTGTTAGTTGTTCATGCAGAACTCTGATTGGATATTCGTACCTCCATTGTCTTTTCATGATTGCCATACTCCAGGAAGAAGAAGGTCTTCGAACTTAGTTTTATGGTCCCGAGGGTGGTGACCTTACTTCTTGGATGATGTATTCCTGGTAATTGCTGTTCTCTCTTTTCCGCGAGGCCTAACTTTTATTAAAACTTTCTGGACGATACATTGCATATATTGTGGTGGGGTTACATCTTGGTATATACAAATTATGACATATATATTTTTTAAAGCGCGCATACTATATATATATAAATGTATTCAAGCATATTGTAATTTCCTGTATATATGTGGTAACCGAGGGTCAAACCTGTAGTAACCGAGAGGGACAGTCAGGGCGTGAAGAAGTTTGCAGTACCTCTCTGCACCTTGTAGGACCTTTAACAGTTCTCACAGAGTACAGGCAGTCGTGGTCGAGGCAGAGTGGAAATCTTGGGAATGTCCACACACACAAAACGAAGAGACACAGCTGTAGTAGGAAAGTTCCATGAACAGAAAGGAGTCGAGCTAAGAGCAAGATGGAGAAAGAAGGTTTCTTTCTGTTTTACATGGTCGATGAGGTGGACCTGGCTGCAACCAACAAGGGCTCACTCCGACGGTGAAGTGACTGTCTACGTTGGGCTAAATCCGAGGTTTTTATATACCATTCCCGAGGAGGGGGGGGGGGGGAGACATGTGAGAATTTGAACTTTTAACGTCTGCGGCATTCTGCACCTTTTGACCTTGATGGCAATGGGCTGCCAAATTCCTTTTTAGGGTTGTTTTCTATCTCGATTTTAGACGTTTTTGAACTTCTCAATCTTGCTTTAACTCAGCTCTTAATCTATTACATATTTTTATTTATTCATCCTCAGTTTGTACAAAGTACATTACATATTGTGATGCAATGAAACATGTCAATCATGCGTATAATTATTTATAGATGTGTCTCTATATA